AACCCTGGGACTCTGAGCGTTTCTGCTAAAAGCGCCGCGAGGAATCGCGACAGGGTTATGGGCCCAGCACGCTTCCGCTGCGCAAGAGTACAGGTGGCAGTTATCTAGCCGTAGGTGCTGGAGGTGAGCTGCAGGGATGGAGCAGTCCAGAACTGGCATGTTGCTGGAGAAGCTGACGGCCACGAACTACAGCATCTGGTTGGTCCACATGCAACACTTCCTCAAGCGTGAGGGCCTGTGGAAGGTGGTGGAAACTCCACCACAGCCCCCTGAGGAGGATGAGGACGACGATGAAAAGCTGGCACTAGCAGAGGCCCAGCTAGAATAGGATGAGAAAGCTTTGGCTACGATCATCCTTGGAGTGGACGACAGCCAGCTAGTCTACGTAGCTGATAAGGTGACGGCAAGTGAGGCATGGAATGCGCTCAAGGCTGTCCATGTGCGAGAGACAGCTGGCTCACTGATAACACTGACCAAGAGACTGTACCGGTGTCGGAAGAAACCGGGGGACTCCCTGGTAAACCACCTAAAATTCCTAACAGGCTGTTTCCAGGAGCTAGCCTTAAGAGGGAGGCCTGTGGGGGAAGAGGACAAAGTCTTTATAGTCCTGAGTTCCCTTGATGACAGCTATGATATGCTAGTCAATTCCCTCGAGTCTGTAGAGACTGATAAGCTGACTCTGGAATACGTTACTGGACGATTGTATGCAGAGGAGGACAGGCGTGCAGAGCGAAAGATGACCTCAGCCCAGCTGTTGGAGCATCCCAGAGGGAACAACAGCCGGGAAGAGCAGAGGTGTCGGGAGCCGGAGAAACAGCCAGGAGGAGCTGCTGCAGACCAGCCGGTGGTCAACAAAGTAAAAAGGTGTTTTTGTTGCAAGTCCAGTGGACATCTGCTGCGGGACTGCCCAAGAAAACAACAAAAACAGCAGAAGCACAGGAGGCAGCAGAGAGAGTCTACCGCTTGGGTGTCTGCAGATGGTCAAGAAAAAGAAGAGCTGTGGGTTCTGGACAGTGGAGCTTCTCAAACCTTTTGTAAAAGAAAAGGACTGCTAACTGATGCTAGGGCTTCAAACAAAAAACATGTAAGTCTTGCTACGGGCCAGAAAGCTAATGTGGTTTGTGAGGGGGAGGTTGTGTTCCCACAGCTGGGACACACATTCAGGAGTGTGTTGTGTGTGCCTAGTTTGCAAAACAATCTCCTGAGCATTCCAGACTTGGCAAAAGCAGGCTTTGAAGTAAACTTTGTGGGAGATCAGTGCCAGTTAAAGCAAAATGGGGCAGTGTTGGCAAATGCTAACCTTAGAGCTAATATGTATGTACTGCAGTGTGAGTCTAAGGTTGCGAATGTGCAAAATGTCCCAACCCATGATATGTGTATTCATCTCCTGCACAGGCGTCTGGCTCATGCTAGCTTTAAGGTGCTGAACAAAACATTGGAGTTATGTGGGGGGGATGAAAAACATTAAAAGTTGTGATAATTACTTAGACTGCAATATCTGCAAGGAGGTTAAAAGCAGGGCTTGCCCAGTAGCAAGAGCAAGCCAGAGAGAAACCAAAAAACCACTGGAGTTGGTTCATGCTGATGTAACTGGTCCTTTTCCACCAAGTGTCTCCCACAACAAGTACTGTTTGATCCTAGTGGATGACTATTCTAGATTTGGCTGGGTCTATCCATTAAAGCAAAAGTCTGACGTTGCCCAAACTTTGAAGTTCTGGGTAAGAAGGGTAGAAAGGCAACTTGGCGAAAAGGTGTGCTCTATTCAGACAGACAGGGGAGGAGAGTTTATGGCAAGCTCCCTAAGAAACTGGTTGTGATCCCAAGGGATTAAACATAGACTTACCAATGTGGCAATGCCTCAGGAGAACGGAGTAGCAGAGCGTAGGGGAGGTTCAAACAAAGCCTGGCTGATTCCTGTTTATATTCAGCAATGGTGCAAGGAAGTGTTTGTTATTTACTTTTGTATGTTGATGATATCTGTCTAATAACAACTGCACAAAAACAAGTGTCTTGGTTTATAAACAGCCTAGGTAACAAATACAAACTGAAGTATTTGGGAGAGATTCAGAATTACTTAGGAGTAGAGGTTCAGAGAAATGAAGAGGGCGTCTACACTCTGAGTCAGAAGGAAAAAAATTGAAAAGTTACTGAAGACATATGGAATGGAGAGGGCAAATGAGGTTGACACTCCCATAACTACCCAGTACAAAAATGAACCAGAAGGGCAAAAATGTGAGAATGCAACAGCATTTCATTCTCTGTTGGGTTCTCTGTTATATTTAAGTTGTTGGACAAGACCCGACATAACATTGGCAGTGCACATGTTAAACCAAAGAAGTGCAGACCCGGCTCAAAGAGATTGGGTAGCACTTAAAAGAATCCTAAGGTATCTGAAAGGCACAAAAGATTACAAACTGATGCTGGATACAGGATATGATCAGCAAGTGTATGCATACGCTGATGCCAGCTGGGGGGACAGAGAAAATGGAAAGTCTACCACTGGCTATGCCATATATATTGGAAATGCCCTGGTTCAGTGGAAATCCCAGAAACAAACATTTGTTGCCACAAGTACTTGTGAAGCAGAGTACTCAGCCATAAGCGAATGTGTGTCCCAAATAGAGTGGTTTGCTTGTCTAACAAAAGAACCTGGAATACCTTCTGAAATGCCAGTCACTGTGCTAAGTGACAACATGGCTGCACAACAGCTTGCTAACCAACAGAACTTTAAGAGCAAGAGTAAACATATTGCGATAAGATACGGAAATGTGAAAAATGCTTTGGAAAGAAATGTGTTAAAGGTACAGCACTGTAACACAAAATGTAATGTGGCGGATTTGTATACAAAATGTTTGGATGCTCCTAAATTTCGAGACTTAAGAGAATTATTAGGTCTGAAGCCTTTGACTTAAGGAGGAGTGTTGGGATTCGCTTGATACTGAGTAAGTCTGCAGGCTTCAACAGGATGATGCAATACTCTGTGAAGTGCTGGGTCAGAGTGACTCAGCAGGAGTGTGATTAATGTGATTGGCTATCACCTGTTTTAAAAAGGAAAGCCTGTTCAACAGTAACTGTGGTTGTGGTGGTTGTGCTGTGGTGGTGGTGCTGTGGTGGAGAGTATTTGTTTGCCTTAAGGAGCAGGTACTCTGTATGGACTGTTTTTGTAAATACCTGTATATAGCTCACATTAAAAAGACTGCACTGGAAAACCCTGGGACTCTGAGCGTTTCTGCTAAAAGCGCAGCGAGGAATCGCGACAAACTCCAACCTAACAATGTCTTTATCCCTTCTCGACAGGTCAGCCCATTCTCCATATACAGAACTAAAATCCAAAGAATATTTCAAAACATGTTTCAAAATCCCTCCAAAGTTAAAGGCCCCCGCCACTCCAATCTCCCCCTGGCCCAAAACCAGATCCCAAGAGCCAGAGCATCCCTGCATAAGGGGATCTTTCCAACTTTCCTTCTCCAATCCAAGCGGGACTCCATCTCTCCAAATCTCACTTTCTCCAGATTCGGTCTTCAAAAACAACAGCTTATGTTCATACAAGGCCGAGGCTCTCTCCACTTGTATTACTTGAGGCTCAACAACAACCTCCTCCTTTGTCTTCTCCACAGCTTGCCATGTCAAAGCAGATTCCTGGGTCGGTTCCTGAGTAGTTTCTGTATAGGTATTCACTTTTTGTCCCAAATCAATCCTTTTTCGTGCAAAATTGTCAATGTTAGTAGTCATCGCATCCATCTTCTCATGAAGCTGTTCCAATAAGGCACTTGTTTTGCAAAAAGCAATCACTAAGGCTTCTTCTGTCCACATTCTTGTCCAAGGTCAATGTCTAATTCTCACGGTCTTTAATCTCTGCAGCTGGAGAATTCCCCAGCTCCACTCCTGCAACAGTTTCAAAAGCTCCCTCTAGGGGAAACAATTTCTATTTGTATTCGTCCTTTTAAAAGCAGGTCCAGCAACAAAGTTAACAAAGTTAATTTCGATTTTCAGATATTTTGCTCCTTTTAAGTGCAAAAGGAAACATTGGAATCAATATGTTTCTCTTATTTAACTATCTGTCAACATACGTTTTATTCACAGTCAATGAACTTTCCCAAAACATCGATCTTTCCTGGCAGCCCGTTCCCAGGTTCAAAACGGTGGTAATTTATCTTTCTTCACTCTCTCTCCTGCAGGCTTAAACAATCTAAACTTTCCCCCTCTTCTCCTGCTTCCAAGGGGGGTTTAGTGATTTTAGCCGATGGAGATTTAATCCTTTACAAAAGGATTTCCAGACTTTAGCTTGCAATGTCTTTGCTTCAATCTATTTACAAAACCTTCCCGCTTCGGTGCCAAATTAAAGATGTTTAGTAATCCAATTTTCAGTTCTACTCAGTTCTACAGAAGGCCAAATTAATTGTGAATAATGTAGTGACGGAAGAATTTAAGATTGAGAAAGGAACACGACAAGGTTGCCCAATCTCTCCATTACTTTTTATATCGGTCCTGGACGTTTTGTTAAATATGATTAGGAGGGACCAGTTGGTAAAAGGTATACAAGTGGGAGCCAAACAGTGCAAATTAAAAGCATTTGCTGACGATCTGGTATTGACTTTACAGGAGCCAGAATCTAGAACCAAAATAGTATTAGAACTGATTCAAGAATTTGGTCAGGTAGCAGGTTTTAAGTTGAATAAGACGAAAACTAAGGTTTTAGAGAAGAATCTAACTGAGATTGAGAGAGATAAGTTTCAGAAGGAGACAGGATTGACACTGGTTAAGAAAGTGAAATATTTAGGGGTTAACATGACTGCTAAGAATGTGAATTTATTTAAGGGTAATTATGAAAAATGTTGGACTGAAGTGAAAAAGGATTTAGAAATATGGTCAAATTTGAAGTTATCGTTGCTAGGCCGAATCGCTGTGATAAAAATGAATGTATTGCCAAGAATGCTGTTTTTGTTCCAAACATTGCAAATTTTGGACAAAATGGACTGTTTCAAGAAGTGGCAGAGAGATATCTCTAGATTTGTCTGGCAGGGCAAGAAGCCTCGTATAAAATTTAAGATATTAACTGATGCTAAAGAAAGAGGTGGATTTGCCCTGCCAGACCTTAAACTTTATTAAGAATCAGCCGCTTTTTGTTGGCTGAAAGAATGGATGCTTCTTGAAAATACCGACGTGTTGGATTTGGAAGGTTTTAATAATGTATTTGGTTGGCATGCATATCTGTGGTATGACAAGGTTAAAGCACATAAAGCGTTTAAAAACCATATTGTCAGGAAAGCACTGTTTAATGTCTGGATAAGATACAAAGATCTGTTAGAAAATAAAACCCTGAGTTGGTTGTCACCAATGGAAGCAAAGGCTCAGAAAAAACTCAATATGGAGGCCAAGTATTGGGAAATTCTGGAGCAAGAGGGAGATAGACTAAAACTGCAGAGTTTTGAAAAATTAAAAAATAGAGTGCGAGATTGGCTCCATTATTATCAAATAATGGAGGCATATAATTTGGACAAAAAATTAGGCTTTCAGGTGGAAAAATCAAAATTGGAAACAGAATTGTTAGATTCTAAAGTTAAGAATTTGTCAAGAATGTATAACTTGCTGTTGAGATGGAATACTCAAGATGAAACGGTGAAATCTGCCATGATTAAATGGGCACAAGATGTTGGACATAACATTATGATGGCTGACTGGGAACAGTTATGGACCACTGGTATGAAGTTTACAGCATGTAATGCCTTAAAAGAGAATTTAATGAAAATGATTTAGAGGTGGTACATAACACCAGTCAAGCTTGCAAAAATTTACCATCTGCCCGATAATAAATGTTGGAAATGTAATGAAACTGAAGGTACATTCTTTCACCTTTGGTGGACATGCCCAAAGATTAAGGCATTCTGGGAGATGATCTATAATGAAATGAAAAAGGTATTTAAATATACCTTTCTGAAGAAACCAGAGGCCTTTCTCCTGGGCATGGTCGGCCAATTGGTGCCAAAGAAGGATAGAACTTTTTTCATGTATGCTACAAATAGCAGCAAGAAGACTTATTGCAAAGCACTGGAAGACACAAGATCTACCCACCAGGGAAGAATGGCAGATGAAGCTGATGGACTACATGGAACTGGCGGAAATGACTGGCAGAATCCGAGACCAGGGAGAAGAGTCAGTGGAAGAAGATTGGAAAAAATTTAAAGTATATTTATAAAAATATAGCAAAATTAATGAATGTTAGAAGGATGCTGAAATGAAGTTACATGGTTTTAGCAGAAATGTTATAAAGAATTAAGTAAAAATGGATTGTTAATGGGCCAAAGTGTAAAATTTAAGGTCAGATTGGGTTAAGGTAATTTATAGAAGAAAAATTGAGAAAGATGGAAAGGATTTGCTGAAATAGTTAAATTGAATTAGAATACAAAAAAGGGAGGTGTGAGGAGGTCGATGAAACAAGTAAATGAAAGATAAAGACAAGGAAATATTGGATGTGGTTTTAAACGTTTCTGTTTTTAAATGTTGTTGTTTTTTTTTTCCTTTTTCTTTCTTTTTATCTGTTGTGCTGTATTGTTTTTTATTCTGCTTTTTATTTTATTTTTTGATGTATTGTAACTTTTTATTGTCTCTTTTTTCCCTCTTTTTTGTAATTGTCAAACTTTTAATAAATATCATTTTGGGGGGGAAAAGAGATTAAGTATAGATAAAAAGAAAGGTTTTGCAACGGAAACATCAAAATTGGAAAAAGAATTAATTCAATCCAATGGAAAATACATTTCAAAGATGTATAGCCTCCTCCTCAATTGAGAGGTAAAAGACAAAGAGGTGAAAGGAGCAAAGATACATTGGGCCCAAGACCTCGGACATAACATCTACATCAGGCATGTCCAACGGGTAGATTTAATTCTGTGAATAGATTGTATTCCCTTTGGGGTTGGCCACCCCTGATCTACATGAAGCGGTGGGAGAGATTATGGAAGGAGGACATTAGATTTACTGCATGTTACAATCTCAGAGAAAATGTTGTGAAAATGCAGTACAGATGGCACCTTACCCCGGTAAAATTGGCCAGAATATATAAGAACAGACTCCTGACTCCCCACAACTTTCCAAGTCCCCTCCTCTCTGGGGTTTCTGGCAAGGGATCAAATAGTGCGCCAGTGTGCAGCCTGCATTTGTTCCTCCATTGTCAGATGTCTCCTGGCTCTGAGAGACAAGCAGGTAGGGTGGCTTCTGGCAGAAGGAGAGGGATCCCCCGGTGGCTCCTCCTTCTCCTGACTCACCTCTGCCTCTCAACCTCCCTCCTCCCACTCGCTTCCTTCCTCTTCTGCCTCTGATTCTGCACTGCATTCTGCCACAGAGTCTCCCAGCTCACTAAGCCCTGTTTCCCCTTCAGCTTCTGACACCTCCTCTTCCCAGACTGCTCCCTCTTCTCCCTCTGACCGCTTATTCTTGTTCCACCTCCACTTCTTGGGCTCTGAGCCGTCTTCCCTTCCTGGTTCCCCGGCTGCTTCCTCCCACCATTCCTCTGTCCCCAACCAGTCCATGACATTGCTCCATCCCTCGGCCTCTGTCCCCACAAGGCAGCTTCCCCTGACCTGATCTGGTTCCACAGCCGCTGTTTCCCTTCTGCCCCCATGGAAAGACGGATAAGGAGGTTTTGCTGGCATCCTTCTGTCACCTGCAAGAGAAAAAAGGTAAACAGGACGCCAGGAGCCAGCGTGGTGTAGTTCAAAATAAATAAATCATATTTTCTTCAGGAATGAGTAATACTTCCTTATGCATGCTTTTAATGCTAATATACAATGGTGTTATAAGAAAAAAAACTGCTCTTTTTCCTTTATGGGGTACCCAAGAGCCCAAATAGAGTCCTCATTTTAGGTTCTCTATCAGTAGAAGAAAATAACAGAGGCCAACCAGAGAATATTGAGAAACAAGGCAGCTAGTAAGCCTGATCTTTATTAAAGCTGTTGCAACAGGGTGCTCCCCCCACGCACAGGAAATTGCCTGCCCTGGAGAACAAGACCACCCCCAGAAGCATCATAAATACATCCCAGAATATATCACAGAAGGGGTGCAGCCCAGACCACCCCCTTAATACATCAGAGAAGGAGCAGAAATCTGGGTGTGTTGTTTCTTCCTGTCCGGCAGGTTAGCAGATTGGATTAAATGCCATCCTGGCCACTCTTTTGTTATGATAACTAATTCCTGAATCTAGGTCACAAGTCACAGGCTGACACCCTGTTCATATCTTGAATGTGCCCTTAAGACAGGATTTGTGAGGAAAGGGACAGTGGGGACCTTTCAGAGAAATATTTGAGGTCAATTTGTTCAGGACCTTTTCTGTGAGGTTTCAGACATGTGGTTTATATATACAGTTATGAACATTTTTAAAATATATTGTTGCTGTTCAGTCGTTTAGCCGTGTCCGACTCTTCGTGACCCCCTGGACCAGAGCACGCCAGGCACTCCTGTCTTCCACTGCCTCCCGCAGTTTGGTCAGACTCATGTTTGTAGCTTCGAGAACACTGTCCAACCTATATATATATATATATATATATATATATATATATATATATATGACCTTAAAATTCCTATAAGAATTGTATGCTATTTCTCCTTCCAGAAATGCTGAACTGCTGATTCAATGGACTAAAAATGCATGGCAATTGTTGTTATTATTATTTATTAATTGATATACCACCTTCATCAAGAGCTCTCAGGGACGTTTAAAACATAGAACATATTAAAAGTAGACAAATGATGCATCACCTCAAATTCTTTTTTTTTAATGATATTTATTACTTTTTCAAAATTTCCAACACACTACAAAGAAAAAGAAAAAGGAAAAAAGAAAAAAGAGAAAAACAGTACGAATAACAAACCAAGCAAAAACAAACAAGAACAATTTAAAAACAGCTCAAACATTTTCAATATCTTATATTTCATTCACTTATTTCCAGCGACCTCCTCACACCTCCCTTTTTGTATTCCACTTCTATTATTTGTTTCAGCAATTCCTTTCCATCTTACTCTGCTTTCTGTTCTATAATTATCTTAACACATTCTTGCCATACTTTTCCTTTAATTTTCTATTAATCTATTTATACTTAATTCCTTATGACATTTCTACTAAAGCCATGTAATTTCATTCCAACATTTTTCTAACATTCCTTAATTTTACAATATTTCTATAAATAGTCTTTAAACTTTTTTCCAATCTTCTTCCACCGACTCTTCACCCTGGTCTTGCCAGTCATTTCCGCCAATTCCATATAGTCCATCAACTTCATCTGCCATTGTCCAACACTTCAGTGTTTTCAAGAAGCAACCATTCTCTCAATCAGCAAAAGGCAGATGGTTCACAATGAAGTTTAAAGGTCTGGCAGGGCAGGTCCACCTCCATCAATATCTTAAGTTTGACTCGAGGCTTCCTGCCCTGCCAAACAACTCTAGGAGCATCCCTCTGCCACCTCCTGAGACCCTCCATCCCATCCAGAGCTTGCAATGTTTGAAACAAAAGCAACATCCCCAGCAACACAGCAGCCCTCATCCCCATGACAATAACTCGGCCCAACAGTAACAACTTCTGATTTGTCCATATTTCCAAATCCCCCTTCTCTTCAATCCAACATCCTTCACAGTTATCCTTAAGCAGATTCACATTTTTGGCGGTCATACTAACCCCCAAATACCTCTCTTTCTCAACCAATGTTAGTCCTGTCGCCTCCTGAAACTCTGTCAGGCTTTCCTTTTCCAATTCAGATAGGGCTCTGGTCCTCAAATTCATCCGTTCTTCTTTAAGTTCAATCATAACGAATGTCAGCTTATGTTCATCAAGTTGTCTTTGTATGGATGGGACTCTCCTCTCCAGTTGTATTACTTTAGATTCAGCAGCAAGGATTTTTTCCCTGACTTCATCTGCAGTTTGCCGTATCAAAGTAGATTCCTGTGTCAGTTTCTGGGTGGTTTCTGAATTGGTATTCACCTTTTGTCCCAAGTTATTTAAACTTTCTACAATTAAATCAGTTTCAATATTTGCAACATCCAATTTCACATTTATCGCGTCTGTTTTCTTGTGGAGTTGTTCCAGCGAATCGTTTATTTTCAACAATGCAGCCACTAAGGCCTCCTCTGTCGACATCCCGTCTGTTTTTTCCTTTCCGTTTGCCATAACACTTAAGAGATTCAAGGTCAATTCCAAAGTCTCACACTTTTCTTATCTTGCAGCTGGAAATTCCCCTAGCCCAGCTCCTATAAAGTAACCAATTTCAAAAGCTTCCACTAGGGGAAAACAGGTTGTATTTGTATCGGTCAATATGTCCTCTTTTAAACACAGTTTCAATAATCCAAAGTTAGTTTCAATTTTCAGTTACTTTCCTCCTTTTTTAAAAACAACCAGAGACAGTAAAAACAATGTATTCTCTTGATTACCTACCTGTCAGTGAACATTCTAAATGCTGTCAATGGACGTTCCAGAAAACATCAATCCTGCTAGCAGCCCGTTTCCAGGGTCGGAGCGGTGGTATTTTAACTCTCTTAACGCTCTCCTGCAGGCATATTCAGTCCACCATTCCCCCCCCTCTTCTCCTGCCTCCAAAAGGGGGGGGGATTTAGTTCTTTACCGATGGAAATTTAGTCCTTTACAAAAGGCTTTCCAAGACTTTAGCTTGCAGTCTCCTTGCTTCAGTTAATCTACAAAAGAGGGAGGCGGACTTCCTGTATTGAACCTCCCCGTTTCGATGCCAGATTAAACGTTTAAAAATCCAATTCTTCCCAATTCAGCTCTACTCACGGGTAATTACTTTAGAGTCAAATTGTCCACAGGAAAAAGTCAGCGCTCTCCGGCAACAGCTATGCGGCTTCGCTCCGTGGAAGAAGCAGATGATTCGAAGCACCGCGCCACTCACCCCACATTGCTCCGGATCCCCGAAACCGGGTTTCCCCACGAGTAGGGGAGGCGCAAAAGGTGCCTGCCGAATCCCACGCTCACAGGCTTCTCCCGCCTGTGATTTTTACGGGTCTCCACCTTCGCCGTGGCGGTACAGACCCAAATTCCCACGGGGCAAATTCCTCCCGATCAGAGGAATTCCGCCATTCCCAGAGGCACCAACCCGGAAGTCCCATCACCTCAAATTCTTTACTCAGGTGAATTTCCTCCTTTCAAAGGAGGCAGGTGGAATCTCCATGGTTGCTGCTGCTGCTGCCCTGAGTGCTGGAAGGAAGACCTGCTCCCTGCAAGGCCTTTTCCCACCTGGCCTGGGGGGCGAGGACCAGACTCCCCCTGCTCAACAGAAGAGACTCCTGGGAGGCCAGAGGGACATTGCCCTATTGTGAATCCTGGGGAGCCCAGACTCACTGGAAGAAACTCTGGGGCTGGGGCAAATGTTTTAAAATGGTTTTTAATCTGTGGCGCTTCCAATGTTGGGTGTTGGGTTTTTTTCCTCTGTTGGGGGTGGGAAAAACATTTAGTTGGCGCTAGGGATTAGTTTAATTTTAGTATAAATGTTATTTGTTGTGTATTGTTGTTTTTTAAATTAGTTTCTACTGTCTTATTGGGTTCTTGTATAGTTTGCATTTGGTTCTTAAGAGGAGAGGGCCAGGGCTGCCTGGGAGTGGGCCACATCCAACAGAATGGCTGGGGCAGGTTCCACGGGGGGTGGGGGGGTGCACTGGGACACTCGATCTCAGTGATCACGGGTAAGAGGAGGAGTTACACTAAGACCAGATCACATCATTACCGAGGAAGCAGATTTAGTTGCTTTTTGAGAACTATCCCTGCCTCCAGGTCTGGTCTTGACCGGATGGATGTTGGAATCAGCAAGGGACACAATGACCTGGCTTCCATGACTTAATTGTGGATGGAGGACTTGACCTGGCATGTGTAACAGAGACTTGGTTGGATGAAGCAAATGGGCCTGTCCTTGTCGCTGCTTGTCCACCAGGATTCTCTTATGCACAGCAACCCAGGTCATGTGGGCAGGGAGGGAGGGTTGCAGTGATTTTTAGGAAGTCATTAGCTTGCACCAGGCGTCCGATTGGGAAGACCCAGTTTTCTCAGTGCTCTGTGGGTTGGTGAATTTTTCCCTCTGTGAGGGAGCCTTCCCAGACCTGATGAAAGAAGCGATCATTAAACTGCTTCTTTAAAAATCATCTTTGGACCTGGCCAATATGGCCAACTATCGCCCAGTCTCAAATCTTCCAATTTTGGGCATGCTATTGAGCGGGTGGTTGCAGAACAACTCCTGGCACACCTGGAGGATGCGGGCCATTTGGATCCCTTCAGGCCTCATCATGGGACTGAAACTGCCTGATCTCCAGCAGGCTAGGGACAAGGGTGAAAGCTGCTTTCTAGTTCTGCTGGGTCTCTCAGCGGCCTTTGATACCATTGAACATGCCACCCTTCTGGACCGTCTTGAGGGGCTGGGAGCTGGGGGCACTGTCACACAGTGGTTCCGCTCCTTCCTCCTGGGCTGTGTTCAGAAAGTGGTGGGGGGGGATGAGTGTTCAGACCCCTGGGCTCTCACTTGTGGGGTGCCTCAGGGTTCTGTCCTCTCCCCCATGCTTTTCAACATTTACATGCAGCCGCTGGGAGAGATCATCAGGAGGTTTGGGCTGGGTGTTCATCAGTATGTGGATTATGCCCAGCTCTACCTCTTGTTTAAATCAGAACCAGTAAAGGCATTGAAGGTCCTGTGTGAGTGTCTGGAGGCAGTTGGAGGATGGATGGAGGCTAACAGGTTGAGGTTGAATCCTGTCAAGACAGAAGTACTGTTTTGGGGGGACAGGAGGCGGGCAGGTGTGGGGGACTCCCTGGTCCTGAATGGGGTAACTGTGCCCCTGAAGGACCAGGTGTGCAGCCTGGGAGTCATTTTGGACTCACAGCTGTCCATGGAGATACAGGTCAATTCTGTGTCCAGGGCAACTCTCTACCAGCTCCATCTGGTATGCAGGCTGAGACCCTACCTGCCCACGGACTGTCTTACCAGAGTGGTGCATGCTCTAGTTATCTCCCACTTGGACTACTGCAACACACTCTAGGTGGGGCTACCTTTGAAGGTGACCCAGAAACTACAACTAGTCCAGAATGCAGTAGCTAGATTGATGGCTGGGAGTGGCTGGAGAGACCATATAACACCGGTCCTGAAAGACGTACATTGGCTCCCAGTACGTTTCAGAACACAATTCAAAGTGCTGGTACTGACCTTGAAAGCCCTAAATGGCCTCGGCCCAGTAGACCTGAAGGAGCATCTCCACCCTCATTGTTCTGCCCGGACACTGAGGGGCAGCTCTGAGGGCCTTCTGGTGGTTCCCTCCCTGTGAGAAGTGAGATTACAGGGAACCAGGCAGAGGGCCTTCTCGGTGGTGGCGCCTGCTCTTTGGAATAGTCTCCCATCAGATGTTCAGGAAATAAACAACTATCTGACTTTTAGAAGACATCTGAAGGCAGCCCTGTTTAGGAAAGTTTTTAATGACTGATGTTTTAATGTATTTTTAATATTTTGTTGGAAGCCACCCAGAGTGGCTGGGGAAACCCATCCAAATAGATGGGGTATAAATAATAACTTTATTATTATTATTATTATTATTATTATTATTATTATTATTATTCAGTCATATTCACAAAGCTAGATGTAATTTCCCCTGTCCTTTATTCCCTCCAGATCTGTCTAGTTGTGGGTTTATTACCCCATTAAAGTCTCTGAGTAGCATTATTTTATCTTCCAGGTAATCCAACAGATTCGTTTTTAAATTCTTTTAATTTTAAGTATCACTATTCTTCCGTTCAGGTCTGATTGTAGTTCTCCTTGTTACATGACTTAATTTCTTGATATGTAAAGCTAAGTGGGGAAATGCCTCTGCGTACGCCTCTGTAATTTGTATTCTCCAGCATTGGGGAGCCAGTGAGGTGTAGTGGTTCAGAGCGGTGGACTCGTAATCTGGGGAACCGGGTTCGCGTCTCCGCTCCTCCACATGCAGCTGCTGGGTGACCTTGGGCCAGTCACACTTCTCTGAAGTCTCTCAGCCCCACTCCCCTCACAGAGGGTTTGTTGTGGGGGAGGAAGGGAAAGGAGAATGTTAGCCGCTTTGAGACTCCTTCAGGTAGTGATAAAGCAGGATATCAAATCCAAACTCCTCTTCTTCTTCTCTCACAGGTGAAGCAGGGCATCTCTAACTACAGATGGGCATTTGAGAAAGCCTGACCTGCTGAGTGCATTTGGAGGTTTGTGCCCATTTCATATGTTAGTTGTGCAAAAATACATCTCCCCGCATCTGGACCCTTGACCCCAACAGTCCCCTCCCCTCATGAAAGATGAAAAGAACCCACAGATAAGTTGGAAAACCAACAGAATGAGACCAAATGGAGAAAAACCACTTTTCTCCATACCCAGTAGCTTCTCTCTCATGTCCAACGAAGGGCTCTCCGCCTCACAGGAATCCTGGTCAATTTCTGCAAAATGATCCATTTCCTGAAAGAGCAACAAGAATTCAAAACAGAGAATGAATGGTGAGAAATGTTAGAAGGAGAATGACAAAGACTTAAAGAGTGTTAGAACTCATTCTATGGATGTCTTCCAAGAAAAAGGATGGGCCATCAATAGAGCTATATTAGATGTTCTCAATCCTGTTTGGAGCCCCTTGGGAGTATCCAGAGGAAAGTCTCTCTCACCTGCTTTCTCTCTGCCTGCTTTCTCTCCTCTGCCTGACTCAGGAGGAAACCTTCGGCCAGGGCCACCGCCTGCGAACTGGTCTCCGCTCCACAGTCCCTCACCCAGCTCTCCATCTCCGGTGGAAGGACAGCCAGGAACTGCTCCAAGATCACCAGGTCCAGCATCTCAGCTTTCGTGTGCCTTTCTGGCTTCAGCCACTGACGGCAAAGGTGGTAGAGTTGGCTGCAAACCTCTCGGGGTCCTTTGGCCTCCTGGCAGCAGAACTGCCTCAACTGCTGGCTCTGCACCTCTGAGCGGAGGGTGTCCTCCTCACCCAGGATCTTCTGCACAGAGTTTTCCCAGAATCCCCCACTGCTACCAGTTTGGATGACATGGCCTCTTCCTGCTCTAGGGCCAGCTGTGTCTCGCTCATCCATCTGTGCTCTCAGGAAGCCTCTGAGAGATCGGAAGGAACCCTTTGGTCTTCTGCCAAGTTCTGTCTGTCTGAATGAGAAGCTCTAGCAAATCCTACAAAGCAAATACATTGTTCTGTTACAGAATATGTAGGTCAGAAGATGGAACGGGATCCTGAGCAAGCATGGATGAGTCTTGCCAGGAACCAGGGCTGGATGGCACCACAGCCCAAACCATGAGAGATCTTCTTTAAAAAGAGAAGAAGGAGAAAGCAGTCTCTAGCCCCCCTAGAAGGAAGATTGCGATGCAAAATGTGGCAGCAACTGAAGGGATTTCTGGGAGAAGAATCAGCCTGGTTTCTCCTGCCTTCCAGTCAATGCATGAAGTCAGAACTGACTGACAAGGGAGTCATTTGTATCTTGTGAAAAATGGATTCTTGGCTCTAGTGGGGGTCCTCATCCGGGGGTCCTCAGGAGTTGCTCCCCCCACCCCCAACTCAGGGCACATTTCTCCTGTGCTTCTGTCTCCTTTTTTTGCACTTGGACTCTCTGCTGCTCTCCAGACAGACTCCTGGGGTGGGGTCCCTTTTTCTTCGCTGTAAGGGCCAAGTGGACAGGGTCCAGAAACATCTCCCTAGAAATTTGGGCAGGTAATTTATTATGATTATTCTATCAGATAGCTTAACACACACACAGCCACTGATGCCAAGGTCCCTGGAATCTCAGTGAGTAGCAGCGCCCATTTCTGGCTAGTTTGCCAGCAACAATCCCTTTGGGACAGAGAGGATGTGGTCCTGGGATGCCCTGCTCTGGGTGCGAGGGGATTGCTGCAGTGGCCTCAGTGGGGAGCTGCCCTGGGAGACACTGGGAAACTGGTCCCCAATGCAGCAGCCGGACTCTGGGCTGGGATCCCTCTCTTTATTTCTGGCCTTTCTCTCCCACCCTTTTTTTGGGGGGGGGCTAGTCCACTTCCTCGTCTGGTTTTGGAAAACCATTTGCACATGTTACCTCTCTTGTGCAATGACGCTGAGCGACGTCACACAGAGTTAAAGTCCCAGGGACTCCTTTGTTTAAGGAAGGGAGATTTCGGGGGAGTCGGTTTTTTCCGAAAAACCAAATGAGTTTGGGATCCTCTGATCTGCAGGAAGGAGAGCGTGGCAGACCTGGCCCCTCCCTGGCAGGACCCTCTCCTCCCTGACTTGGGGTCCCCCCCTGCAGGAGCAGATCAGGCCCCCCAGGCCTCCTCCCCTGCTGCAGCCCTGGGACCCCCACCAGATCCCAGAGAGAGAGGAGACTCACCAGATCCCAGAGAGAGAGGAGACTCACCAGATCCCAGAGAGAGAGGAGACTCACCAGATCCCAGAGAGAGAGGAGACTCACCAGATCCCAGGAGGGGACAGCGAGGCAGCCCTTGCAGGAGATACACCGAAGCGGGAAAGGACTGGGGAGGGAGGGGCCTTGGCTCTGGAGGACCTGGCCCCCCCTTGCTTCCTGTCCTCTCTAGGAAGGCAGCTCACTTCCCTTTAACCCTTGCCAAGCCGAGTCCCTCCAGCTCAGCCCTCTCTCGCTTGGCAGAACCTCAGATTTCTATCATTTTTTATGCATTTTGGGGGCCAGCTGCCCCACCCGGCTACGCCAATGGCCAGACACCCTTTTGGGGTGAGGCTCTTGGCTGGACTCTGAGCATCTCCCTCCCTTCATCAAGAGATCTCAGAGACCTTTAAAACACAGAACACATGAGACGCAGACCGATGATGCCTCACCTCAAATCCTTTCAAATCTCCAAGTCTGCTGCTGCTGCTGCTGCTGCCCTGAGTGCTGGAAGGAAGACCTGCTCCCTGCAAGGCCTTTTCCCACCTGGCCTGGGGGGCGAGGACCAGACTCCCCCTGCTCAACAGAAGAGACTCCTGGGAGGCCGGAGGGACATTGCCCTGCTGGGAGTCCTGGGGAGCCCAGACTCACGGGAAGAAACTCTGGGGCTGGGGCAAATCTTTTAAAATAGTTTGTAATCTGTGGCGCTTCCAATGTTGGGTGTTGTTTTTTTCCCCCTCTGTTGGGGTGGGAAAAACGTTTAGTTGGGGATGGGGATTACCGTATTTTTCACTCCATAGGGCACACCTAGTTTTTAGAGGAGGAAAACACGGGGGGGGGGAATTCTGAATCAAATGTTGTACTAAACTATTTAAAGCAGCCAAGCGGGTGGCTCCTGTCCGCTTTGCTGCTTTAAAGCGAGCCTCAGAGGAGGGAAGGAAGGGGAACCATGGCTTATCTAAGTCCAGTTAATAATGCTGAGCCTGATTTTATATGCATCTCAAAGCCCTTGACATATATACATTATAATGACAAGCCGAGATAGGCCTCCTGCATAGGAGGAGGGGAGGAGAAGAGAGGGAGCCATCATAGCTCAATGGGGAGAGCATGGAGAAGATCCCAAGTTCAGTCCTTGAAAGCTTCTCCGGGTAGGGCTGAGGAGTGTCTCCTGAAACCCTGGTGAGCCTCTGCCCATCAGTGAAGACAAAACTGAGCTCAATGGGCTCAGGGGTCCTGACGTGGTACAGGGAAGGTCCCTCTGTTCCTGTTTAAATTAGCCCTTTCTTCAGAACCATGGGGACTACAATCTTAGTTTGTTTTTAAAGGGAACAGCTGTAACCTCAGCGGCTTTGCATGCACAACTCCACACGTTCAATCCCCGGCTTCTCCAGGCCTGAAACTCTGGCAAACTGCTGCCAATCAGTGTTGCCATTACTAAGCTAGATGGAGTAGTGGGTCCGACTCCTTATAAGGCAGCTTCCTAGGTTTCCATTTATGCTTCATATCTGAGTGTGAGGCTTGCTGTCACATTTAGTGTGGTGAGGGTGGTTCTTTGCACATCTGGAAGACGACTGTTTCACCTCCCATCACCCTACTGAAGGTGCTTTTATAGCTCAGGGGAAAGGGCAGGCAGCCACAGCATCTGTAGACTGTAGCATCCTGAATTAAGGGAGGGAGGGATTCCCGTTGCAGCCAAAGGATTGTTTGAGGCCACCACGAAAGAGCTGATCTTCAGCTTGAAACCAGGACTTGCTCTTTCACCATGCTGCTCCTCCAGTTGCCAATGCCATCCATGTAATCTGTGTGAATATCAAGCGTGGGTTGTGTCCAGGAACCTGGGAGGATTTCTTTCATGTGTGTGCATGTTTTCGTCTTTAAATAAACAGTCCATGCAAGTTTCTAGCTCTTATGGCCATTGAGATTAGCCTGGCCGCCTCAGAGGAAATCTGGGGAGGCTGAGGTGGACTTTCCAGTGGTCAAAGTGTGGTTGTGTCTTCCTGCCTGGCATCTATTTCCTGCCCTCTTTCCCCTCTGCACCCCCGCACCCTGCTTCAAAGCAAGCCACGGAGGAGGGAAGGCTCGCAACAGATTCCCTCCACTTTGAAGCAGGAAAGTGGGAGAGGAGCTGCTTACACGAGTGGAGGAGTTATGCTAAGACCAGACCATGTCATTACCGAGGAGGCAGGTTTAGTCGTTCTTTGAGGACTATCCCTGCCTCTGGGTCTGGTGTTGACCGGAAGGATACTGGAATCAGCAAGGGAGACCCACATGACCTGGAGGTGCTGCTGTGCAATGCCAGGTTAACGATTCACAAGACAGCTGGCTTCCACGACTTAATTGTGAATGGAGGACTTGACCTGGCACGTGTAACAGAGACTTGGTTGGATGAAGCAGATGGGCCTGTCCTTGCCGCAGCTTGTCCACCAGGTTTCTCTTACTCACAGCAACCCAGGTCATGTGGGTGAGGAGGGAGGGTTGCAGTGATTTTTAGAAAGTCATTAGCTTGCACCAGGCATCCGATTGGGAAGACCTAGTTTTCTGAGTGCATGTTCTGCATATTGGGCAATGGGGGCAGTACAGGATTCCTTTTGGTGTACCGATCTCCCCACTGCACCAAGGATTCCCTGCCCGAGCTGCTTCAGGTTGTGGTGGATGTTCTCATGGAGACACCAATTTTAGTTGTCCTGGGGGGTTAACATCCATGCCATCACGACCTTACAAGGGGCCACTCGGGACTTTGTGGAAAGCATGGGCTCCATGGGGCTGTCCCTGAGTAAGTTTGGCCCAACTCATAGTCGCAGACATACCTTAGACCTTGTGTTCACCTCTGTGGATGTGGGTAATCTGACACTAAGAAAAAGTGTGACAAAAGAAGTGCTATGGTCGGATCATTCCTGGTACAACTGGACTTCTCCGCAACCCTTCCCCTCTGGAGGGAGGTGGGACCAACTTGGATGGCCCACCCCCACCACTTAATGGCTCCAAATGGTTTCCAGAGAGTGGTAGGGGATGTTTTATCCCATGCTGATGATTTTTCAACTGATTTCCTGGCATTGAACCATCTTCATCCCACTGGCTCCAGCAGACAGGGAACGGTTTGCTTTTACATTGCCAGCATATAACAATTCGCAGCCCACCCAGCGATATCAGTGGGTTGTCCTGCCTCAAGGCATGTGGAACTCCCCTACACTTTGTCAACATTTTGTGGGTGAAGCATTGAAACCTTTCCGCATGCGCCACCTAGAGGTGCTGCACACGAGCTGCATCTGGCAGTGTTTGCCTTCCTAACCATTTGCCTTGCCATCCTTTGCTGCACCGTTATACAAGGAAGAGAAGCAGACGACCAGTCCAGTTGAAACCACCATATTTCACCTCATCGGCTGGCAAGCAGCTGTTGTCAGCTTCCTACTCTGGCTGGCAGTATCCACGGCTCAGCCACTTTCAAACTAGAAGAACAGCGTTGTTGAATAAGACTTTTAGGGGAGAAAATTATCATAGGATATGGAGGGATAATATTTTTGTACAAGATATGATTATGTTTGCCAGTTTATTGCATGCTTCTAAATGTTGGGTGTGTATGCCAGTCATTCCGGCATAATGCTTCATGGTGTGCCTGTCAATGGATCTTTTCAATTTACTAATATTATATCCCCTAAGCAAACTTTTTGGCCTCCAGTATAATTGACCCTCCATGAGCCTGCCCCCATTTGTTTTCAAATTAAAGAGGGGAAAGAATCATGGGGCATATATCCAAACTGCCAGTATACATTGAATTTCACTTTTAATAGTTCTTGTTCTCTTACAGGAACATACAGTGACCAATCTCAGTGCTATAGAAGCGATACCAGTGCATGGCTAAAAACTAGGAAATAATCCTACCATGCAAATTGGAGTCTGAATTCTTCTATCCCTGGCTTAGCAAATGCCACAGATGAGCAATTTCATATCAGTTCCTTATTTACTGCAGCCTTTTATTGGTCCCAACAGAGTAGTAATATCAGCTATTTACTCCAAAGAGAGTTATGGTTGCTTTGTGGCGAAAAAGCATACAAAGCCATTCCTCGAAACCTCACAGGCACATGTACATTGGGTCTCGTGGTTCCATTGTTGTATAAGGTTGATAAGTTACCATCTTCTCTTAGACTACGATATCGTCGGGAGGTTAATTTGCCCTTAAACCAATATATCGGTACCCAGATCTCTCGGGCCTTGCTGCCCTCAGTGGGCGCAGCAATGAACTATAGGGACCTCCATCGGCTAGCAAATTGGACTGAAGGATTATTCAATGATACCATAAAGGCTTTGAAGAATCTCAACCAGGAGGTGTCTGCAATGAGAGCGGTGGTTTTACAGAATCGTTATACCTTGGATGTGATTTTAGCCTCAAAAGGAGGAGTTTGTGCACTTGTTCATTCTCATTGTTGTATGTTTATTCCTGATAATAATGTCAGCATATCTGCGACGATTGATCATATGGAAACCATGGTAGCTCACAATCCGCTTGCTCCTCCGCCTTCCGTTGATCCATGGGCATGGTTATATTCTTGGCTTCCGGATGGAAGTTGGCTTCGACATTTATTGATTTTAGTGATCATTATAGTAGTTATTTGTGTTATTTTGTGTTGCTGTATCCAATGTATTCCTTCTTTAATTTCTATATGTACTGCATGGTTCTCCAGTCCGCGGCCCGCTTCCGGTGTCACAAGAGTCGCTTATCGCGCTCGATATAACCGTATTGGTACTGACTTATATGACTCTGATTAATAAAATAAAGAAAGAGGGCATGTGGGAGTCATAAAGCCACGGCGAAGGCTTGTAATATTGCAGGGTGCCCCCTGACCTCGGCTGACCAGCACTCTGAGCTTTACAATGTATTGGAATGTGTTGACCTTATATGGTTTGTGGGTGGGTTAAAGCCTTGACCGGATGAGGTAACGTGAGACATTGGCAAACAGCCATGCGGCTGGAGAGAGACAAAGGATAATAAAGAAGCTGCAGGAGGAGAGGGAAGTTCGAAAGGAGCTGCTCCTACCATCATGAAAATATTGCTGGCTCTCTGTGTCTTTATTTTATGCTGAACTCCGCCACTTGTAACGGCTGGCTCCGACACTTAATGTGGATT